ATAAAATGAACCAGGCTGACCACAGATCATAAAAGCTATGAAATCTTATTAGGTTTGCACACCAAAGGGTCATCGGTCACAGGTTTCAACTATCTGCAAATAGTTTTTGTAAAAACAGGTACTTTCCCTGACCCAAAATCTAACAGCAGTTTCACTGAAATTGTTCTTGGCAGCCAACTAATGTCTTTGGACAATTGCAGTCCTACCCAATTAAGACATTAACTGTCTCACCTTACTGAGAACAGTGTCACGTAGGTACTTTTGGTACCAGCGAACACAGAGAAGACTCCATTATAGTGGAGGAGTTTAATTAGAGAGGTTAATCCAAATCCATTTAAATAGTTTTTCACTGATAGTCACCATGCTGCAAAAGAAAATCCAAGGTGTCTTTTGCATTGCATTCAGTTCTGATTTAGTGAGTTTCAAGTGAATGTCTGCTTTTTGTAGAAGTCCCACTTGGCACCGAATGAACTAAACTTACCTTCAGTACATTAGAGCTATTGTTTGGGAAGAAATCAAGTTTCGCACCTTCAGTGAATACAAGAAGTGGTGAAAAGGTGGTGTAAAGAACTAGACAGTACTGATCATTATGTCTTCCATGTAACATTCATGAAAACATCCAGGAGTATATTAATACTCTGTAGGTGGAAAACCGATAAAGAGGATTTCCACAGCTCCCACTCTAAGCACTTCCACTATACCTTTCCAAGCTTAAAATGATGGTGCACGGTATTGTGTTAAAAGTAAAGTTCCCTCTTGCCTGTACTCGGTAGTGTATGCTGCTCACCCGGAAAATCTTTGGCTGATCTGAGCCGCCTCTTCACAAAACCAAGATTAGACGGAGCTGTTGCTTTGTACTGACAGAGAATGGATGCACCATCTTTTTCTGCATGTGTGTGTGTGCTTGTGTGGTCTGACTTGCTGCGTTTCTCTATACAGGTATTTTGTCCTCAGCCGTCTTGCTTACCAGCCTCTGAACCAGAAAATAGAGGGCAAACAGTTTGATCCTCTGTGGAAAACACATTAACTTCAAAATCCCTCTGACCATGACTTTTGCTTTAATTTTGTCATTTATCATAAGGGTGTGTCAGAACTCTTTGTACAAGGATATCCACAAGAACAGTTAATGAAAAAGGGTTAGAGGTTACACAATATAAAGCCAAAGACAAAAGAAACCTCAGAAAGTTTTGCTAGTAGAATATGTTAACACCGACTGTCTGGTCTAAACACATCACACAAGCTAGCCTGCCTGACCCTGCAGCTAATCTCTTAAACCAATTTTAGTTTCCCTTGTCTGGTGTTAACATTGCCTGCACTCTTCATTGGAACCATTAAGCTAATCTTATTACTGTCACGTTCCACGGACAGGAACCATGAGACTGCAGATACTTTAAAGTTGTCTTGGTATAGATTGTTTCGGACTGAGCATTTATTGTAAATCTTAACATCTATGTATATGCTAGCTTTAATGAGCAAGGTGAATGCTATCAAATAGTCCGGTGCTGTTAACATCCTCGTAATGAGATATGTGAACCTATATGGAGCAAAATAACCTCCATAGATATAGCTTCTGTGTGTTGTTGACTTGTTTGACCTTTTTCTTCTTACTAACTGGTATTTATTCTGTTGAATTGTCCGTTATGTTTTACGCAACAGGACAATATTTAGAGGGACAACTCTGATATCGCTACTACTGGATTTGGCCTTTAATTGCAGTTGAAAGTGTTCCTCTTTGGTCTTATGTAACAAGATCAGTTCTGACTTCCTCCATGGCGTCAGGTTACTAAAGTAGTAGTAGTAGACTGTTTCTTTCCGTTACCACGTACCGATATACAAAATGCACTCACCTAAAGTAACCCTATAAAGTCATTAATAATAATATTAAACTTTATTTGTATAGCACCTTTCAAAACAAAGTTACAGGGTTCTTTACAATCAATGATAAGGTAAATCACAGTAAAAGGAATTTCAAGACTATAAATTATAGTTAGTACAAAAAAGAAAAAAAAAAGAAATGAAAAACAAAATAAGATAAAAATAACAGTCATGACATATTAGACGACTGGATGCAGTTAATGTTAATTCATTTTAAGCTTTAATTTAGGTCTGCTACTCCTGATTAGTTTAATTATTGATTCAACATCATTTATATATTCAATTACTAATTTTAGTGTAAAACATTTGAAAAATAAACGCAATTTCTCTGAAACCAAGAAAGCTTTAAATTGCTTGTTTTGTTTGACGTCAAATATATATTTAATTTACAATGATAACGAAAAAAACAGGAATTCCTCTGTCGGTTAGCAAAAGCCTTCTTAATGATTTTTAGCATTAAATGTTTATTTTTGACACTTCTATAGTTGTCATTCCCCCAAATCATTCTGGTCTCATCCATGATATGTCTGCTGTGATTCACATGTGTAGTGTAAGAGTAATACTGTATTTGAGCAGCAGGGCTTGGAGAAGTGGGCTTGTGTCTGGATAAATACCGACTCAAGGCTTAGACTGGAAAGGGGAAAATCTGTATGGTGAATAATAATTTAATAAGCTCTCCCAACCTTTAACAGCTATGATGAGGGTGCTATTGAACAAGACTCCCAGCTGTAACAATATGTGACAAATAAGGTAAAACATAATGGTTGCTTTCCCTCAATAATGAATCAAGTCAAAATACTAAAAGAAAGTCAGTCAGTATCTGTCAAAGTTCATATATGGACTTTATTTTTGCTTCTAGCAGCAGGAGGTTGTGGGCAGCCAGTTCCTTTGTTAAAAAGGTTGAGCTCCACTTCCTTCTAGGTGAAGCTGAGGCCTCCCTGACAGCTCATACCATTCCAGGCCTCTGTTTAAAAAGGTCATTTGTCAAGGCTGACATCTCAGCTATTACCCTGCTCCTGAGTCAACCTGTCTCATCATGCTAACATTTAGCTTTAGAGCTGCAGTCTCCGGCCTCAGCTGGCCTTTCTCTTATCTTTTATTGAGCCATAAAAATGATGCAGCAGTGCTCTAACTGTGCACCTGTTCGTAACTGTGCCCACAAAGATCTCGTCAGCAGTTTCATTCGTATATTATTATCCATGTGCATTTGTATTTGTACATCTCTATAATGTACTTTAACGTTACCTTTTGGCTTGGTTCTTGCTCTCATCTCCTGCTCATTTTTTAGTCCAAAATTTTTTCGTTCTTTCTTTCTTCAATCTGTAAATCTTGGCACCCACTTTTCTTTCTCTCCACTAACAACAAGATTTAAAAACCAAACTTTTGAAATTAGCTTTTTCCGACCTACTGTCAGAGATTATGTTTTACTAAGCAGGTATAATAGAGGGATTACTTTAAGTCTTAGTTAGTACTCATCTGGTCCAGGTCATGATCCGGTGAACAGGCGATTTAAAGCAAACTTTCATTCCTAATCCAGCTCATATTGTACCTTCTAATGCTTAACTGGAGAAAATTAAAGACATTGGCAGGGTTGAATAAACTTACACAAGCTAAATTTGATTAACCTGAGTCTGACAAGATGGCCAATAGACAGTGAGGCTGCAGTAACCTTGGCAACAGAAATATCCATGCATCTAAAAACAGTTGTACTGAGAAACGATGGTGAAAGGTGGTTCAAGTGGAAAAAAATAATTTCCACATTAATTTGAGATTATAGCAAAATACCCATAAACAAATGGGCAAAATTATCAGCACCTCCCAGCCGTTAAACTGCATTTAATACTGTGCGATGTCCAACATTGTCTACTGCAAAACAAAGCTGCAAGAGTTTCGTGTAATTTTAGATAAGGGAGGGAGTGAAAGGCTGATGGGAAAAATGACTTTCAGTGTGTTTATCTTCTACAGCTAGTCACATAAGAAAACTGTTGACATGACAATTCAGAAAGCATCATGAAAATGAGGTCTCAACTATAAGAAACACAAGTACTAAATAATACCACTGACATGAGATAGAAGCTCTTGTTTTCATATTGTATATTGGCATCTGAAACCACTACAGGTAACTCCTGTAACCTTGTGGAATAAAGTTTCATCAGTGTAAAACTTAATAACCTGCAATTGAAAGAAGACAGACTCTATGTATGCCAGTGTGTGATTATCTGCAACCAAGTGTACTGTCAATGTCTATGAATTTGATAGCACGGTGCTAAAACTGTTCCATAATTTTAAATCAGCTATTTAAAATAAACTATGATCAGCAAATACCTTATTAGCCTAACAGAGTGTGAATCTTAAGGCAGAGAGATTTTGATTGTAGGGTTTTATGGATGTATCTTTATTTACAGCGACAGTTTATAGCCACGGAAACAGTTGTTGTGTGAATCGGCCGATTTAGGGTGTAGTGTACGAATGGGGATGAGATCATAGCCTTGTTTAAGAGTCAGCTGCTTGGTGTGTGTGTGTGTGTGTGTGTGTGTATGTGGATGTCACTGTTTCCACTTCACATGGTGCTGACTCACCCTGTTTAGTGTACAAATGAGACTAGAATGATAGAGTTCTGTACTGTTACTGGAGCTGTTTTAGATTATGCTTAAGCTTATTTTATGATGCTTTTGGTGCATAAATAAGCCTCTATTGATAATAACCATTCTTTTTTTAAATTTCCTTAAACTTTACGGTACAATACCAAGTCACTGGAGTACCAAATGTTTTTGGGCCTTAAATACATTGTATATGTGAACTTGACTTTATATCTCTTGTCAAAAGGCAAAAAACACAAAAAAATAAAGAGAAACACAAAAAGTTAATGAGATGTCAAGGATAAAAGGACACTTGGCATTGTTTATTTGTCTCACGAACATTTTGGAATGAAGAAATTAACTGGTATCATCTTATTGATTGCTCTCTCACTCTGTTTCCTTGACTCTCTGTACATGGTTTTTATGATCATGTACATGATTTTCATGATCATGTACCCTGCATGTGTGTGTGTGCTTCAGTGCTTGTATTTGCCTGGTCCAATAACATCTTTCCCCTCTCTCTCTCTCTCTGTTCGTATTTTCCAGATGTACCACTCTGACCACAGTGTTGACTTCCCCGACCTCTCCTTCCAAATCCCTGGCAGCCCTGCAGAGCTAGACCCAGCAAGCAGAGTGTGAACACAACCCTGAACACAACACACATCTACCTTCCCCTTCACCCACACAGGGCCTCCCTCTGCTCCAGTCCCAACCTCCCTCCTCCTGGACCATGGACAGCCCTCCTAAGCTGTCAGGCGAGACCCTGATTGTGCATCATATCCCACTGGTACACTGCCAGGTGTCAGGTGGGCGGCAGGGTGGCTGCGGAGCCTCACTAAAAAGAAGCAACCCATTTAGCCCACCAGAGAACCTAGGTTTGAGTCGCACCACTTCCCTACCAGAGAGGGACGTCCTTCAGAGAGAGGCTCTGGTCTATAGCAGCCTGATCCAGACCTCTGGCAGCACCTGGTCCTCCCACAACGGAGGAAAAGAGAGGAAGGGCGGCGGGAGAGGAGGCAGCACAGCAAGCGATGATTCATCGTTTACCTCCAGCAATTCAGAGGACCAGCTGATAACAGCTCACACATTACCCAGAGCCAAACCTAGGAACAGGAATCCGTTGCGTCATAATCCCTTCCTTCTGAATACCGAAGATGACGAGGATGAAGAAGAGGAGGATGGTGACAATCTCAGCGGTTACCTTGAAGACTCCTCTTTTCATCTCCACAGTACCACTAACTCTGCCATAGATGATGCGATAGCTTCTTTCCACTTACATGACCTTGGCTTTGCTTCTGAGCCGTTTGTTTTGCACAGCTCAGTGGGTGGAAGCGGTCGGGAGTCCCTGAGGGGCATAGCCTCGGATCTGTCCAACCACCTGGAGAACCTGGACATTCTAGGACTGGACAGCCAGCGGCGCCACGGCAGCAGCTGTTCCAACATATCCATGGATTGTGGAGAGCATGACTGGGGCGATGACGATGAAGAAGATGAAGATCATCCTATGAGGTGTGGGCGAAGCAGCAAGACAGGTTCATACTCCTCTAGCTCCTCCACACAGCACTGCTCCTGCTGTACACTCTCCCAGAACTACCCGCAGCACTTCCCTGAAGCCTTCCCAGAGCCTTTCTCAGAGTGCCAGCAAGGCTACGGCAGCGACTCCTCTTGCAACAGCTCGGATGGCGTGCTCGTAAACTTCAGCGCCATTTACAACAAGATGAACAACGGTGTCCCGGAGAAACCACCAGTCTCTGGGCACACCAACCTTAACAGCTCCACTGACCACTCCTGCACCTCATCTGTTTCTGATCCACCAGGAAACCAGCGAGACTCAACCAGAGGGGCTTTCTATTTGGACCTTCACACCTCCCCAACTGAACCTCCTTCATCACAGCAACAGCCCTCCTGCCTTGGCAGCACATTCCCTCTCATCCGTGAACCACTCCTGTCCACCTCCTCCACCTGCTCCTGTGCGGTGGAGCATCAGGGGGCTCTTGACCTTGACGCCAACTGCAACTCTTACCACCCTCCACATTCTGGGTCGTCCGGAGACCTTGTGTCTTGTCTGCAGAGTCAGGCGCGCCTGGTTGTCGCCACCCAGAACTACTACAAGCTGGTCACCTGTGACCTTTCGTCCCAGTCGTCCCCAAGTCCCGCAGGCTCCTCAGTCAACAGCTGCTCCGATGAGCACAGCAAAGGCAGCCCCACCCCGACCCAGCCCAGCGAGTACTTCCTGTTCAGGCAGCGAGCTGATGAGGAGGGCGTGGAAGAAGAAGACGAAGATGGAGAGTCATCTAGGGTTAGTAGAGAAGCCTAACTCTATTAAAATAAGCAGGATACTTGAATTTCACAGAGGTTAATGAAATGGCTGTATGGACAGGTTCACCATACATATTTGTTTAAACCAAGTTAGACATGCAGCCAGGTTGATCATATATTTTTTGTTTGGCTGCCTGTGTTTATACAAAGGTTAAATAAGTACCAGTTTGCTATTGGTACCAAAACTCAGGTATTAAAAAAATACTAATAATTGTTCCACAGATATATCACAACAAACTCATCACACTTTTAAAACAAAAACCCCATCACTTTTCATATTGTTGGAATGCCTGATGACATAGTAGAGATATATGAATAAAAGAAATGTTTTCACTAGTCTTAGAGTTTAAATAAATCTGTACTACCTGTCTTATTTACCAGCCGTACCTTTACTTGGTTCTTGGGATTACACTTCTTTCCTTTTGTGGTCTCTCTGGTTATTAGTTAGCTTATAATGTTAGTTAGCTTACAGTATGCTTCTTTAGGTGCAGTTATTCTGCGTGTAAAACAGTGATAGCTAACTGCATTTGTTATAAGGTAGAACCGATGATTACAGATTTAAAGAATCCAGATCATTACATAATCCAAACAAATGACAAAAAGAAATTGAAACATTTAACATTTTCTCTGACTCTTTGATTTTTTCTCCAGTTCTTCAGTATCTTGGAAAACACAGCTTGCCGCCGGTGGTATGCATAATTAATCAAGTTTAGGCAGTGAATTTAGATTTACACCAAGAAGTACTTAGTTTAGCGAGTATTTAGAAATACTGTCAGAGTATAAATAAGGCAAGGAAAATGGAATGAATCAAAATAGAAAGCATAGATAAAGGTGATATGGGAAAATTACAGTCCAAAAGTAAGGGAACAATAAATAGCAACTACATAGTACGTTAATTTAACTGAAGGCCCTATGACAATGGCAGTAACCCTGGACTTCAGATAGGCGTGACACTGGTATTAGTCAGGCACTGGCTCAATTTAGATCGCAGGCACTGTCTAGGGTTATCTGATATCATGTCCGATGATTATTTTAGCAGTCAGAGCTTAACACTATTACTGTCAGTCAGTAAACTTGCCACTGTGCCAGAGGAAACCTGGCTTGAAGGCAGTTGAGGTATTTGGTTTGCTGTCCTAAAGATTTTAAGTCACTTGACCACCAAACCTTTCTCTTCTTTCTTTCCTTATTTATCTTCATCCAGCGAGATTATAAAGATGAAGAGGAAGAAGAGGAGGAGAAGAAGAAGAATCAGCACGCAACCAGTGGGACTGAAGCTGCTCCTGTGATTGAAGGCCAGGTGTATGTCAACATCTCCCCTCCCGTGGCGGGCCGGGGTGGTATCGGAGGTGGAGGCCCCTCGGGAAGCCGCCCCCGCTCTCGCAGCTACGACCGCAACCTGGACAAGTCTCCATCTCCTCGGCTCGGATCTCTGGAGCGTATGTTGAGCTGCCCCGTCCGGCTCAGCGAGAGCGCCACCCCGGCCCAGGCTCCTCCTCCACGGGTCACCTCCTTCGCAGAGATTGCGAGAAGCAAGCGGAGAAACGGAGGCACAGGGGGGTCGCCATCATCGAAAGCAGCCCCAGACCCATTCTCCTCCACTTACTCCTCCCACTCTCACTCCTCGGTGGATTTCTCTCCAATCCCAGAGCAGCGCGTGGAGATTGACAGTCAAAGCCTGTCACCTGTACCCTTTACCAGATGTTATAGTCAGGGCAGCATTGAGCGACACCTGGAGGGGGCGAGGGAGACCAGGGCCAAGGCTGAAGGTATGTCACCTCTTACTATATTAATTTATTTTGTGCACATTAAAAAACATTACTGTCAACTATTGCCTATTTACATATCCAGCAAAATCACAGCCACATTAGCATAGCATCTGGAGTGAAACATTAACCAGTATTCACTCTTCTTTTAGCCCTGGTTTGGTCAGCTCCTGAGTAAAAATATGTGGCTCTTTAGCTGCTGGCTGTAAAATCAAAACAACAAGCTAATAGATGCTAAAAAGCTCTAAAAAGGTGTGTTTGTTCACATTTGGGACAATGTCTATGCTGTATGCGTCTTATGTGTGTATGATATGTGTATGGTTTTATTTGATTCTGTATGTTTAGACCATTTTTGGGCAAGCATGTATAGATGTGCTCCGAACAGAGTGACGCAGAGTGTGTATCCTCAGCTTTAGAGGCGAATGGAGGGTTGATGTGGGCCAAACGTGTTCTGAATAACAATCAGGTGAGAGAGGAGATAAAGGTGCAGAGAAACCCCCGAATGAGCTCTACATCAGCATACTGAGCTGTGTGCGGGTCTGCTGTGTTTGTGCGTGTGGCTGTGTGTTTGCATATCTGTGTTTGTGCGTGTGTCATTCTGATCCAGAGAGCCTGTAGGCCTGACTCGTCCCAAAAACGAGGGAAGGTCAGAGAAAGTTACAGAAGCTTCTTCATGCTGATGGGAAAAAATGGTGTCACCTCTCTTTCTCCGCAGAACATTTACTTGCTCTCCTGTTATTGAAAGGTGCTGTGACTTTCATCATGTTTCTGGTTTATTCAAATGGTGACGAGAAGTGATGAACTTCTACAGACTCAGGTTGTTGGTTAACAAACCAGTGAGTCGCTGAAATCTTGCATGACACGCATACTCTTTAGCTTTTTCTTGTTTCCCAAAATGAAGAAAATGTGAAACTCAGCAGCTAACAATGTCAAATGGAGCATAGGGATGGCAGCTGCTGCCAGTGTTATCAAAGATTGTTTGTATTGTATTGAGTACTTTTATTCATGCAAATGTATTAAGGACGTTATTGATTGTTGTTAAAATGCTACATATAGCGCCTTTGAAATATTCAGCAGAGTCAGCGAGTGGCAGCAGAATAGCACTCAGTCAACAAAGGAAGATATCTTGCCTCCTCATCCTGTTGTGCTGTTCTGTAGCTGAGCCTGACTTCTGACCTCTCTGCAGAGGGAGACAAAAGAGAGACAAAATTTCCTAAAGGGATACATTTATTGTTATAATCGTAGAATCAAACTAGCTGTGGAACACTGTGGGAGCCTCCTGGAAAAAAATGCTGCGGAAGAAGTGATGCGTATTAGATTTTCAGTGTATTTGGAATAAATAGAACAATTTCTCTGTATAGTAAAATCATTAAAAGAATAGTTATGAGATGCCATATATTAATCTTACACTTGAGCATGTATTTTAGGGAACTCAGTGGCCAAAATAAAGATCAAGAATCAATGGAAAAATACGTCCCAGACCCTTCATCAAGGCTTCAGAACCTGATGAAGGCTGTCTATGTGTCTATCATATAATCTATTTAATTAAACCATGAAATAGTTTATCACTGACAATGACAGTGCAGAATCATTTATCTGAAAAGACTTTTTGCATTCACAGACACTACCATCACCTTAGGAAACTGAGTTGCAGCTGCCTGCTATGCGTGTCTGGTTAGATAAACACACACATACACACACACACACACACAAACAGCGAGTGCTTGGAATTCCACTGAAATAAAACCAGAGACAGTTAAGAGTGTGTGTTCCAGCAGAGGACTGTCCCAGGAATCTCCAGCTGTCCTCCTTCACAGTTTTATATGGACTGGAGCTGGACCAAAGTCATTTTAGAAACATTTGAAGAAAAATAATCTCATTATACAAATTTATTGTGACGTTACTATGATGGTGTTTAATTAACAATGGACTCCTGCTTAGTTTCTTCAGCTAATTATTTTGACAAAAAAACTTAAAGATTTAAATCAGCTTTGTCACTTTGTGTCAGCCCACCATTTTGTTTACACCTAAAAAGGGAACACGTATTAGTGTTCATTTGTTAGTTTCTGGACAGATCCCGACCCCAGAAATAGGTCTTAAAGAGGTCTTTGCATGTGGTAGTACACTTTCATTTTAAACTTTTAAACTGATTTCTCCTTAAAAATGCATCACACCAGCTTTATTCAAAATGAACCATCCTGCCCTCTGGTTACCATTACCAGCCTCCACAAGTATAAACAAACAATGTTCTGCTTCATTTACACTGAATTTGTTTGCTATATATTGGAATAGTTGTTTTGTTCTCGTCCAAGTTCATATTATGAATGTCAGTTTTGTAACTCAAGCTTTGAATGAGCATGGTATAGGCAATATGGTCTATATATACATCAGTACGGAGGAATGTACGTACACATTCCAAGGTGGCCTCTGCCCAAATCTTGTGAATAAACTCTGTAAATGTACCTTTTCCATCCTGCAGATAATAAACTTCCAAGCCAAGTAAATAAATACATTTGAAATCCAATAATCAAATACCTACATACATTATCATCAAAAATGGAAAATTCAAATTTAAATGTGCAAATATGCAAACCTCTGATCTCATACTGAAATCAAAACCTATTTGATTGCCACAAATTATCAACATTAATGCAGACCCGATGTCAGTACTCACCAACCTCATATGCTATGTACACCTACAGTCAAACAATCAGACCAGGGATATTATCAAACTATTATTATTATTAGAGCAGAAATGGTAGCTAAATTAGCTCAATTAGTCTACAGATTAAAAAGAGAGAATTACTGAAAATGTGTTGGTACAATAATTGTTATTTTATAAGCACGAAATGTTAAAGAATCACTGGTTCTAGCTTTTCATGTGTGAATATTTGCTTTTTTGTGAATATCAAATGTCTTGTTTGGAGAAAACAAGACATTTGAAGACATCTGAGAAATTGTAGCATTTTTTAGACCAAACAATAAATCCATTAATCAAGTAAATAATCTGCACATTAATTGATAATGAAAATTAGTGTTAGTTGATGGTCTAATTCAAGATTTTCAAACAAGGAAAAAACAACAATGTAATATAATATACAATATACATATAACAGATACATTACAGTTGCCTATGTGCTGACTGTACAGGTTTATCTTTCCATAGTCCACCAGTCCAGGTGCTAGAACAAAAGAGCACTTCCCCTCCTGCTTTAAGCTGTTCAATTGGGGCTTGTTAGTTGTCTGTGGCAGTGAGGCAGAGGAAACAACGGTGAGATGGAAGGCAGGGGGGCGATTGATAAAGTGATTTGAGAAAATAGGTCATTCCACAGAACGAGGTGTGTCTTTCACATGCCTCAAAAATATCCTCTAACAATGTATCCATGCAGACAATGATGACATAAGATTCTAATGAGAAGCTGTGCAGCATCTCGGTACATATATTATTCATCAGATCAACTTCACTTGAGTCAGCTGCGTTGTTTCACCGCAGCCTACAGGCCTCTTTTAAAGCCTTTGGGAAGCAGCTCGCTCGCTAATGATGCTAACATGAAGTGCTGAGCTGCAAAGGAAAAGCCTCGGCCATCTAATGGATTCATCTCTGAAAGATGTAGAGGAGCTAAAGAGAAGAGAAAGAGAGGAGGCAGGAGATAAGCAGATGGAAAAGGGAAAGAGGAGAGGTGGTTGAGGAGAGAAAAAGAGATGGAGAGGAAGAGCAAAAGGAAAAAAAAATGGCAGTTAGAGGGATGACGGAGCAGATATAGGAGGGAGTGTTTCGATCCTCCATCCCCAGTGGGAGATCTGGCCTGCTGCTGGGTGTGTAGCGGTCCTCCCTCCTCCCTCCTTCTTCATCTTTCTCCAGCAGCTCAATGCCGCCCTCTGGGGTTGAGAGACTTCGCTGCACGCAGCTCAGGTGGCATTGGTGGGCCGGGCTTAAAGTGACAAACAGCTTGCGCAACACCGTTGACGTCACACACTCCTCTTTCTGTCATACACTGCACTGGATCTAGGAACACACTCACAGAAAAACACACAGATACTGATTCAGTGGCAGAGAAGAAGTGCAGAAAAAGGCTTCTCGTGGTGCCTCTCCTGACGCAGTGCCTTCAGGTTTAGTCTATGTGTGTGTCTTTGTGAGTCTCTCTGAATATGTTTTTGTACGTGTGTGTGTGTGTGCACGAGCGCACACGTGAGCCTGTCAGAGCAATGTCCAACAGTGGCATGGTTGTCTGTGATAAGGGCTGTTGTCGAGTTTTGTGACTCATGACTGGGCAGTTTTCTGTTAGGAAGGGCATTTTTATGTTTGGTTTCACTTCTAATAGTTCTAACACTTATACAGATTAGTACCATAAGGATTAGTAGATTAATCAATTAGTCGATCAACGGAACTAATCATAATTATTCCGTTGTTTATTAACTGGTTCCTGCTTCAGAAATGTGAGCATTTCACTGTTGGCTGGAAGTAAGCAATTTATAGCTGTCAACTTGGATTTTTGAAAATTGTGGTGGGCCTTTTTAACAAATTTGATTATTTACTGATGTTATAGTCACTAAATAATTGCTTGACTAATCAAAAAGTGAATTATTTATTCGTTGTATGCCTAAATTAAAGCCTGAACTTTAATCTTACATTGTTTGCAATCCTCTCCTGTGGCAAACATTGCAAGTTTATTAGGTACACATTTCTGCATATTCAATAGAACAGACCTGCAATAAATCCTCTATTCATGAAGGTTATAATGTTCAGTTTTGGTAAAGAGAGCTATTGAATCAACTTAAGGGTCATTTTCAGGCTGTAGTTTGTGGTGCTGTTGAATTGTATTATGTTATATATGGGTGTTTCTAATATAGTATCATAATGAAGTTGCCTCGATTGCCTCTATTCTACATATTTCTTAGTTTTTTCCCTTTTACTCTCCATTTGACTCCTCCATCCTTTCTCCATCCCTGCCATTCTTCTTATGCTTAACCAGGTGGTCTCTCGAGTTCCTCAGACAGCCGCCCGGCGGTGGTCCGCTACAGGAAGGACCAGCGGCCCACCACCCTCCCCATCCAGCCCTTCACATTCCACCACCAGTTCGCCTCCAAACCCCCGCAGCCCAAGCCTCTGCTGCCCCTGCTCACAGGCTACCACTCTGGGATGCAGGCCCGCTCCAGCTCGGGCTCTGGTTCTGACTCGGGAGGTCCGGTGGGGGAGGACAGTGAAGATGCAACTGAAAATGTGCACGGGTACCAGGGGACTGCAGCAGCCCCTCCTCCTGGCTCAGTTCGACCTTCGCCTCTTGGGAGCTACTCCCCGGTTCGGCTCCAGGGGGCGACCAGCTCTGGGACCTGCTCCACGTGCACCCCAAGCCCTCAGCCACCACACAGCCTCTCCTGCCCGCTTTCAGCAGGCCTTGGCCCCCTGCACACCCCACCGACAGGAAAGCAGGGAGGGGGTTCAGTGCCATTACCATCTACACCTCCACCTCCATCCCTGGGGGCAAAGAGAGGAACGGTGCCACCAATGTTGCCAGCGGTGCAGGGACACTGTTTCCATCGTGGAGGTCTGGCCAGTTTACCAGCACTCCCCAGTGACACACTGAGCCCGCTGGGCTGTCTGGACTCTGGAAATTACATGGAAGGAAGCAAAGGACCCGGAGCCAGGACACATAATGGTAGGTTCCAGAAGAATTATCTTGTGTCCTTCGTGTTCATGTTGTTCTCACCAGAAAATGCTGCTGCTCCTGAAGGAAATAAAGGTTGGAATCTTAAAATGTATACAAAAGCAAACTTCAGGCACTTGAATAAAGGATCAGCAATAATATAGAAGTTAAGATAAGCCTGTATTAGTTACATGGCTTGATCGTAAGATAATTCAAAAGTACAACAAGTTTCAACGTACTTGTAGGTCTTCGTCAGGGTTATAAACTGTTTTGAGGTTTGCTTGAAGTTTTGCTTTGTAAACACATAATGGTGGGGATTACTGAGCAAAAAACACATCAGTGTCAAAGCCAAGCTTTTAAAAATGTCAGAGCCCATGCAACCCTTTTGAAATTTTTGTTGTCTAGTCATTTGTTGTTCCTAAAGATGCAGTTGAAAATGCAAAACACATTCACAGTTTTGTAAAAGGCAATATGCATTGTGGTTGTCAATCCTATACCACAATATAAAATATGACCTGACAAGGTTCTACTTCAGATTTTTTATACTTTTTTTTTTAACTATAACTATGGTTATCTTTCCTTCTTTGTTCTCCTTTATCACTTCACTTTACATTTGCTTTCTTCTAACTATCAGTCCGTAGAATCAGTCAACAGGTTTACATTAAAAGGAACTAAAATGTAATTTAGTCAACTGATAGTCTTACATTGGTAAACCATCACAGGGAGGGTAGTTGTCTAATTTTAAATCACTTGTTGTTGTGCACGATATAAAGTTTCAACCCACAGAGAGCAGTGCAGCATTGATTCTGAATTGATTTACTTCAATTCATCCACACCTGCTTTCCACAAAAAATGAAACACAGAATCTTAATAATTATAGTGGTTCTCTGCTTTTATAAGACAACAGATTGCTAGGGGGTTCACTTATGTAATAGTGATTACATTCTGTGTAATTCAGTGTTGATGTACTCTTTAAAAGAAGCTAAGCTCTTCTACCTTCTTACTGTTTTTTTCTCTTTTTTTCTCTCCCTTCATGCATGGACTTAAATCTTCTACTGGCCTCCCTTCATCTTTTCCACTTACCCCTCTTTCTCTGCTTCTATCCTATATATTTATTTTATCTGTCTCCTCAATAATCCATCCATTAACTCGACCACCAACCCCTTGATCGACACCTCCCCTCCCCAACAGCACACCACCTCTCTCCCCAGGCTCTCAAGTGGAGGGAGTATCGTCGTCGAAACCCTCTGGGAATGGAGAGGGTCTCAGGGGGCCACACTGCCCGCCTGGACCCTGGAAGGGGTGGGGGACCGCGACCTGCCAGACGGAACGTGTTCGATTTCCCTTCAGCCCTATCCGGCCACACGCTGGGACGGCTCAATGGTGCACATCATTTTACAGACAGTGTTGGAACAAATGCAGGATTATAAAGAGATTTGAAAAATAGACCTAAAGTATTAATATTCTTCAAAGTCCAAAGAATTTATTATCTGAGGGTAAAGTCACTGATAAAAGACTGTCACAGGTTTCCTTCGAGAACAAATATGTTAGAGATTCACAAAGGTCTCACATACAGTTGCATAAGGATACCTCAAGGCTTCTCATGCTTTTAAAAGTGGTGGTGTGTGTTTATATGTGTGTCTGATCATCCAAGTGTGTGTGTGTGTGTGTGTGTGTCTCAGCAGTGGGTCAATCAGTTAAGCTCCAGCAGAGCTACAGCGACTACCTGCCGGACTACTTCTCCCTGACCGAGAAGCCTCCGGAGGAGTTCTGCCTCTCCCCCGATGCTTCAACTTCCTCCTCCTCCTGCTCTTCATCACAGTCCCACATCTCTGTGGACCTGACGCAGAAGAGAAGTGAGTCTCTGTGTATGTGTTTGTGTGTGTGTGTGTGCATGACGGACAGTGACAGTGGAAATCACTGGGAAGTCTCTAAATATTGAATTGCTGAATGCTAAACGACCAAATGTCTCACTGTGTGCTGCTCATTGCATTTGTTGATAGCTGTCTGTGAATACTGATCCAGTACTGATCCAAGTGCAGAAAACAAGTTCAAGCGTCCCATTTTCATACCAACAGAACAAGATAAATAAAGATTTAATAAGAACAAATCTAATTACATCACTTTGATGTTTCTGAGGCTTTCAGCCACAACTCATGTCCTTCCTCAGCAGAAGGAGTTGCTCCATTGCCATGGAGATAGATTTTCATCACATGACCTAAGAATGGAATTGTGGTCACATGATAGGAGATTATAAAGAGAGCTTTATAGTTATAATTAAAATGACCAGGAAACAATAGGGATAGGGAGTTAAATTGCAATACTAGTATGTGAAGATTGAAATCAGTGAGATTAAAAATTAATCGTAATATCAATTATTGTATAGGCAAGGAAAAGGAAATATGCACAGTTTATTCCATACCTTAGAAATAAAAAGGATTATATCATTTGATAAAGAAAATACAAGAGAAAATATATTTTGTGGATTTTTTGTGGCGAACTAAAGTTAGTCAAAATTTGTCTTCAATCTCATTTTGTTAACAAACTTGAAAAATCATGAGTGGAGTGTATCTTTACATCCATAATTCAGGAGATTTTGTAGCCTTTTTGGTGTTTTCTGTCTCTATTTACACCTCTGAATGTCTCATACCTTTCAATTCAAGCATCATACACCAACAGTAAATTATAAACCATTATAAGACCACAGTGACTACCTGAGCATAGACGTCCTGTTCTTGTCTCCATCTTAATTCAGGGAAACACTATTTTGTACTGTGAGGCAACAAAAGAATACTACTGAACCACAGACAGAATCAAATAACAATCTCCAATTACAATTTAGGGGATCACAATTCCTGAGAATGTGGTGTTATTGTCAGGGAGTACTGATGGTGTTGAAAGGTGGTTAAATCAAGTGCCCCTCACTGTATAAACGCTACTTGACAGTGAGGAGAGTAATTCAAGGCCTCTTGAAGCAGCAGGGTGTCGTATAATGGGCAGGGAGACCATCCTTCAGCTGGATCAACTGGTTTGACATCCTGTGTGGTTTACCATCTACACTGCTGAAGGGTACTTGAACAGGACTCAGAGGGACAGATTTACTGGGCCTTTTCCACCTTTGTTTCAAATACATTGTATCCCAGAGATGTTTTTATTTATCTAACAGATTCATAGCCAAGAAGCACAGTTTGGCTGTTTTCTGAGAAAGGCTGATGGGACAAATTCCTAGAAAGCAGTCCCAGCTGTTCATTGCACAAGTATTGCTGTTCCAGTAAATGAAACACTGAATCTATGCAGATTGCACGCACAAAGGCACAGAAAAATGTGTGCTAAATTTGGATCTAATGTGTCTCACGTCCCGGCAGAAGAGAGTAAAACAGGAAAACCAGTAGTTACAGGAAACCAAAAGGGATAATTGACTAACTCTTCCTTTATTCTTTTCTCCCCTAACTCTATCAGTTTTGGTGAAAGCCGTGAACACAGCAGTGGATTTGATTGTGGCGCACTTCGGCACCAGTCGAGATCCAGATGTAAAGGTATGAGTTTTTGGTGAATCATATTGATGACTGTAGTTAAAAAGAGGGCAGATTCTCCTGGCTGATTACCACTGCAGTGTAGAGTACAAGAGAACATCAAACCTTCCTGTTGGTAAATGACATTAGTTTCACATTAATCTGGCGCCATTTCACACATTCACCATTCGTCTGGGTTCAATTTATGCAACAGCAGTTATCAAGTTGTTTATTAATTGATAAAATGTGTATTTTTAAAAGGAGGTTTGCCATTCCCAGATGTGTAGTTTAAGAGCAAGCATAGTGTCAGTCACATCATGTTAGGGGCTTATATGCGTGTAAGTTTGTTTCAGGCACTTGTCTTCCCCATTATTTTTTTTTTTAATTATAAAGCGCATAAGCCATGGGACTAACACAACAAACATTTTTAGAAATTTAATTGGGCCCTTGTGATTTTCACTTTCTTCAGTCGCATCAGTCAGGAAGTCTGGCACAGAATGTGTTTATTTACACAGAGCTGATAACAGCTAGGCTGCAGATCAGTCTAATCCACAGAGTCAAAGGGCATTTATTGATTAAAGGCTAAAGCAAACAGATTATATATTTACTTTCTGTTTCTCTATTATGACTATATGCTCACAAGTTTAAAAAGAGTGAACTTATCTGCACAGAGAAAGGCAGTTTTGGCAAACATAGACCAGAAGGTTTGCATCATTCTGTATCTTTGACCCCACATCTTGCCTCCCAATTCCCTGATTGTTTCACTTTAATTTCCTTTATTCCCGAATGTTTCTCCGCAACCCTGCCAGGCTAAGCTGGGGAACAGCTGGGTGAGTCCCAACGTGGGTCACCTCATCCTGAAGTACCTGTGCCCAGCCCTGCATGAGGTGCTGCAGGACGGTCTGAAGGCCTACGTGCTGGACCTGATCATCGGACAGCGCCGTTGTCAGCCCTGGAGCCTGGTGGAGGCCTCCACACAGCTGGGTGAGAAAATATTGTCCTATTTTAGTGACAAACTGGTATGAATGCTGTATGTCTAAAGCNNNTGTTGTCCATACTTTTTATCTAAAAACCATATTTAGTCTACAAACCTGATTCAAAACATGATTTAGAAAAGTTGAACATGAGGTGACATATTTTTATATTGAGACAGATGTATCATATTTGCAGACTGATTATATCACAATTATATAATGAGAATGATATGAGGTTAGAGAACAATTAGGGTATACAATATGTAACATATTTATATGTTTGTCTCCATCAGGACCGTCCACACGTGTTCTCCACAGCCTATTCTCAAAGGTCAGCCAGTACTCTGAGCTCACAAGCCACAGCATGAGACTCAACGCCTTCATCTTTGGCCTGCTCAAGTGAGTCCTTTCATCCAGATATTCTTTACACCAATGTTTCTCATCCTAGGGGTCTGGGGTGTAAAGTGGCTATAATCGATATTTTTATAATAACAATGTACCAAATGACAATGTGAAAGTGGTCACTCATAATGATGGACCTAAGGAGAATTACTGTATCAGCTGAACCTGCAGCTTTATTCCAAGTTTCAGCTAACTGTTTAGCTGTCAATGTTGTGTTCACATCTTGTTTCCGCTGCCCCCAAGTGACCAAAAAATATGTTATGTCAAATTTTGAATACCAATACCAGTGATTTTTCAGAGCTGCTCACACCCATTTGAATAATTATTGACTGACTCATATTGTGTGTTTAAAAGGCATTTTGGTTTAGTCATGTTAGACTTTGTTTTACCTGCTCAAATACAATTTTACACCTTATGAATGATAGACTCAGGTGTTGAATGTAAGAAGGTTCTCCTGTAGGAGAGTGATGGTTTTTAAAATGTGATTCTCTTTATATTTCAGTCTAAAATCTTTGGAATTCTGGTTCAATCACCTCTACACACATGAAGGTAAGACTCGGTTGGTAATTCATCCATCTTCAAATACCCAGATAGTTATTTGATGTCCATATGTGCATACAGTCTTGCTTCTTCTGAATCTAGTGCTGATATTCTTCCTGTTTTATTTTACTTTTCTCAGATATCATAGCAGCACACTACAACCCATGGGGTTTCCTTCCCCTGTCGCAGGGGGCGTGTCAGCCGCTCTTTGAGGAGCTCCTCCTCCTGCTGCAGCCACTGTCGCTCCTCCCCTTCGACCTGGACCTGCTGTTTGAACCACATCTTCTTCAAAAGGGCCAGGAGCACCTCCGTCGCAAGGAGCAGCTGTGCTCTGCAGGCCAGAGTGTCGACCAATCAACACGCTCCACCTTCCAGCTCATGAGGGGATGGAGCACCACTGTAAGCGAAATGGTCAGAGACTCAGGTGCAGAGGGGGGGAAGAAAGAGAGGGCGATGCTGAGAAGAGAGGGAACATGGCCGCGGATGGAAGGGGTCGGGTCGAGAAGAGAGGGAGTGAATTCAAGGTTGAGGAAAGAGGCGGCCACACCTGAGAGCATTACAGCCGGGCCTGTTAGCAGACAGACAATGATGGAAGTGGGGTTTGCCAATCTCTGGAAGGAGAGGGGGATGGGTGGGCAGAGAGTGAAAGGCGTAGGACAAGAGAGCCAAGGAGAAGGTGAGGATGGACAGGAGGACAGGAGGAAGGATAAAGAGAAGGATATGGCGAACGAGGGGCGTCAGCGGCAAGAGAGACAGGCAGGCTGGTGGTACCAGCTCATGCAGTCCTCCCAGGTTTACATCGACCAATCCGCAGCAGGGTCAAAGTTTATTAAGACTGAGAAGAGGAAGAAGTCTTCAGAGAGGCGACATGGCCAGCTCCCGCCCACCAGAGAGGGAGTGGTGGAGGGGGCTGAGTCGAGCCAAGAAGGGGAGGGGTTCGGAAGCAGGAAAAGCAGCAGCAGCTCTAGCGGGGAGTCAGTTGGATCCAGGGGAAGGCCTTCATGGATGGGCAGCCCGCCAGAGTCCGTTGTCAACCAGGAGAAAGAGATAAAACCTCTGAAGGTTAAAGGGACTGGAGCCCAACCTGCAGCCCAAGAGGAGAGCCCGTCTCAGGGACAGAGTCTGCGCTGGGGCAGGCTCTTTGGATCCAGTGTTGGTTCTCCTTCGAGGGTGGAGGGAGCTGAGCAGAGGCCAAAAGCTCAAACAACCAGGTAAGTTAAAAGGAGAGAGAAGAGATATTTTATAACAAATACCTTCAAAAGACCAAAACCAACAATATGTTGATCTACTAACAAGTATGTATCCAGTAGCTTTTTATTTAGCTGTCAGTACAATCATTTTTTCCACACTGTTTTTCTTTCTCAGGCCACCATCAGGTTGGTTTGCTCTGGATAGGTCTGTTCTGGACCTCGTAGCACATACTATTGGAGCGGGGAGTGGGAAGAAGGCAGAGCCTCCAGCCACACCCACTCACACCCAAACCACACCTCCACCAAGGTCAACCCAACCAACTGAGGCCAAACAACAGTCTCCATGGTAAACAAATACTATACATTGTGTCCTGTTCTTTCAAAAAATCAGTTTGATACTTTAAAAATACAGCTATTAGAATATAAAAAAATAAAACAGCACAAATCATGCGTAGGGTCAAGAAATGGAATACAATATTAATTATATGTATTTCATTAGTGTTAGTGTATAATCACATGAAAATAAGAATAGTTGACTCCGTCAGTGTTCACTGCCACCGTAGTTTCTCCTACATACAAAGGCTGAACTGCATCCACATGGTTGCACTTGCCACTAAATCCTACACACTGGTTCTTTAATGGGTGAATCATTTGGTCTAAGAAATGTCAGAAAATTGTAAAAAAAAAAAATTATCCAACCAACAGTCCAAAATCCAAACATGTCCAGATTACTATCACATGAGGCAAAGAAAAGCAGCAAATGCTTAGAGCTGAGAAGCTGTAACTAAGGAATACTTTAGTATTTTTGCTTCAGAAATTACTAGAAGAATTAATTGTTAATCAAAATACTTGCCAGTAGTTTTCTGTCAATTTACTCATCTTTTCTCCATGTCCTCTGTCATTCCTCAGCGAAGTCCGAGCATTGTGCCACCACATAGCCACAGAGCCCGGCCAGCTGAGCTTCAACAAGGGCGATATCCTGCGGGTCCTGAGCAAGGCTGATCCAGACTGGCTGCTCTGCTCCCTGGGATCCACGCAGGGCTTGGTGCCCATCATCTATGTTACCCTCAAAAACATGGAGGAGAGCCAGGATGCCACTGGACTTGGGCAGTGCTAAGCCAAAGCTGCCCTAGAAGGAATTAAGATGAAGGCAAACCGCTTTGCAGACAGAGGGTGTCCTTTCCCTGCCACATACCTACTGAAAACAAAAACCTGTTAACTGTACATTGGGGACGATTCCCGCTAAAAAAACACTGTAGAAAGTACGAAGATTATGAAGATGTACAGTCACATGCAAGGGAAGCATGCAGGCTCGAACACAAACTCACATCCACTTCAAGGGTACATCCAGACAAGTATGCATGCATACATCCAAAAACCAAAAGACAAAAGACAAGAAACAAACCCAAAGACACTTCAAACACATGCTTCTCTCTGCGCGAAGCTGTGCTGCTAGCTTAACTGTGTGACTGTCCAGCCTATATATCATCCATCTCTACTTTCAACAAAACAAAGAGGGGCTACGCACAGACGGGAAACTTCACAATATAATATTTACCATGCCTAGCTGCACTTTGCTGTACTGTCTACACATTCACCTGGCTGTGCCACACACAGTGCTCAGTTATTGCCCTCAGTCGAACGCCGGAGTCGGTTAGATGTCCTGTTGCTTACTTGGTACCGATTGATCTTTTAATTTCACATAGAAACTGGTGAATCCTTGCTTTTTACGTTGAGCTAAGGTGGTTGATGTAAAAGCAAAAATTGTTAACTGTTTGATCCACGTCTGCTCCAGTTGCAGAGGTGTGATTCAGCATATTGTTATTAGAAGAGTAGAAAACCACACAGAAGTCTGTTTAGATGGCTGTTCAACCCAAGTGAAAAGAATGAAAAAGGAATGTTTCCATTCCTCGTCTGTCTTACTTTATCACCGCTCATTAAAGCCTGTTTATATGGAGACAAAGGAATAGATGGACTGAAAAGCAAATTGCCTTTTTTTTCTCCCTCCTTTCCCTCACAAGACCCACCACAGCTGGGATGAATCAATGGTTGACATTGTTTAAGTGCATGTAACCTTGCCAAAATGTTGTCTTTTTCCCTACAGTCCTGTTTCACCTGTGTTCCTGCCGTATCCCGAACCTCGGTCCTCCCTTAATCTCTGAGTGAGCCGGTGGCTACAGCCTGCGCTGTACATGTGCATTTTGATCTATTGGTACATACTGTAAATGCATATATGACTTACACATATGGTGAGTTCTATTTATTTATTGACCAGTCCAATTAGCTGAAGGAAGCATCTAAATGGACGGTTGCAGAAAACAGAGAAGGATGTCCAATGACAGCAAAGCATGGCTGTGGAGGCATTTTTGAATGTGTTGGGGATCCAGCCTGGAAAACTCTTAGCTAACAAAATGATTGCTAATTAGTTATATGTGTGGCATTTAGAAAGGGATAAATGATCTTATCCATGCCTTAAAGCGCTTGAGGAAAAAAGGGAGAATTGCCCAGTTAGACACTTCAAGGCTAGCGACCTAATATTTGACATTATATTTTGTATATGCTCTGACGTGTCTAACTGTACATTTTCCCCAGATTTATATCTACAGAGATTCTTGTTGACTTCAAAGACAAGTATTGTGAAGAAATAGAGCTGATATTTTTTTGATGCTTAAAGGGAAACCCCAACACATTTTGTGATGGTGGCTCTGTGGGCATTCGGGTGTTAGTATGTACCTGCTACCTGTCATGCCCAGGTGTAAGATGTGGCCTTAGGTTTAACATAAGTTGACAAAGAACTAAAATTTTGGCTATATTCAATATACCTGGATAGATGTTAAGCATTTACAGATGCCCAACCCAAATATTACACATTATAAAATGGTAAAATCAATGTACATTTATTAAATAAATGAATGCTTGTGTAGTTTTTGAAAAACTTTCATAGGATATAATTTTACTGTTTTGTTGCATTATTGTACAGTTTGTACAGTCATTTAATTTCAGCAAAATCAGTTTATTACTTAATTTTCATTGAACTGTAAATATATTTAAATCCTTAAAAGATTAATTTCTGCCATAGAGTTACATGTATGAATGTCATTACTGATTTATTAATGTATTTTATGTTTAATACAGGAAGCAGGTATAAGCTTTAGTTTCAGTGCTAACAACCATGATGACAGTCGGCGTGGTAGTGGAAAGTATGATAAGTGAGGGTCATTTTGGGTCCTCCAGGCAGTTTGCTGTTCATTGACATCCTGTTCACATGGGACAGACAGAGATAAACACATAGTAGTGATAAAACCAGAGAGACATGGAGGCTCAGGGCTGAGAGGCAAAGACAGATTCACTTTAGATTTGGCATCTGATTAGCTGAAACGTTGTGCTTTAAAAGGCCACACTTGTAAGAGTGACATAACAGAGAGAAAGAAAGAAGCCCTCTTTCTTTCTCTCGTCTTTTTTTAATCTGCTTTCTCTCTCCCTGGCTGCCTCCTCCTGCCTGTAAATACCTTCAGCATCAGTGACACTGCTCTTCTCTCTGTGTCCAGGCTATATGACGTATACGTATGACATTATCGAACTACTATGGATGTTAAATAACAAAGTGCTCATGTGATCACAAACTGAAATGGCTCCTGTGTCTTTTGTCCTTAACACACTATTGTACCGCTGTACCAACACAGAACTGTTTGATTATGAAACACTCCACGACTACACACCGGTGTAGAAATGAAGGTGACTGAAAGAGGTTTGTAGTTTGGAACGTCTGTGGTAAGGTTTCAGACAAATTCAAAATGTTTTACCTTTTGCCAACATATGGCTAAATACAATTTCAAAATCACCTCCAATAGTCAGTTCCTATTGAAGTTTACTGATTGGATCCTAAGCAGTGTACATCCTGTATTTACTTTCTCAGAAAAATATGTGTATTTGTAGCACATGAAACACATGGATGGGAACCAGAGAAGTAGTTTATATTTCAAAAATGAGTTTAGATTTTGTCTTTTTTTTCTTAGCACAGCTGCCGTTCTCCATGAAAGACAAAACTATGAACTTTTACAGTTGACTTCCAAGCATACAGGAAATGAGTGTTTGATCCTCAAAAGATAAGGGAACTATAATATATATAATACCGGTATTTTGTATACAGTACACTGTATCAAAGTATCACACGTGTTTGATACTGCAGGCCAGAAGTTGATACATGAAAGAAAACATGATGCACTGTCATGTGCATATACTGATAATATCATACTACCTTAAGTTCACTGTTGAGAAGGAGGCACTCCAGCCACCAGATGGTGCTGATGTTTAAAAAAGATGAAACAGATCAGCTGTGAGTTCACTGAGTTGCAATATACAGGCTCTTTTGCACAATGCCAACTAACAGTTTATAGAAATAGATTCTCTTTGTCCTTTATATTTTGTCATTTTAGTCGAGCTATAGTGTTTGACAATATGTGTCCCGTCCAATGAAACTCAGGTCAGTTTGAATTGCAGTTCATCATTGCGTTCAGAGTCTTATAAGATTATGTTGATGTAATATTAGACTCGACATTACACTGATAAATAATCATGTTTCACTAATAGTTCTTAACCTCTGACCCAATCAGACCCACCTACAGGTTAAATTATTTCAAATGCATGTTGCACTGTGTGAACATTATTTTAGCTCTATTAATGATTTCAAACCGCCCAGGCACTGCAGCTGCTTCTGTAGAAATAGTTACACTCATAATTTGTGATAAATTATCAACATGTTTAAACTTCATAATTAAGATCTGTTCAAAAGTACAACAGCAGCTCATCAAGAGCAGCAAACCTCTCGTTATTGGTCCAAATGTACATCAGTAGTTGGTTTAACGTGCTTTTCGAAAAAGAAATTTCATCATATTGGTGGCAATATTCCTATGAATCCAGACCAGTCTGACGCACTGTTCTGCAAACTGTGTATGTACCATAGTTTGTCCTCCTGCATATATTCATCACAAGGAGCTATTGTGTTTTATTTCCTCTGAAGACGTATTTTCTATGGAAATCTATAAATTGGGTTTAATTTCCCTATCATTTATAGGGGCTTGTCATAACTGTTAGAGAGGTTAGGCATTTGGCAACATGGGGAATCTAAACAAACAAAGATCTTACACACTCACCGAGAAGTGGCACTGCCAAAGTGTGAAATCTAATCTTTTATTTATCCAGAATGTTTATAGAAGGATTAAAAGTTGAATGGGCTGCACTTAGCATTTTAACTTCTCAGATTAAAGATAACCTTGAGTTCAGGGAAATCAGTGCGCTCATCATCCAAAAGTCACAGGTTTGAATCCTGAGCAAAAAAACCCAAACATTATTTTCCTTAACAAATACTGTTGACTTGAGGAAGGCATTGAACCCCTACTTTCCTTTTTGAGGACCCTTCCTGTAAATGTGAAGTTGATGGTAGATTAAGCAACCTGTAAATGTGCATTATCCGAATTCATCTCATTGTCCTTTTCTGTATGTTATGTATATAAAACCATCTCAACAGAGATGCCCAACCAACATCTCATGTACTTAAGTTTGGAGGTTTTAAGTTACTATGAAATGCGAGATGTATAAGCTCACAAAAGCTGTCAACTCAGCATTTAACAGCCACAAAAGCGCAAACAAACTGGAATTTTTTTTCTGCTTAAAGGGAACCTTCACTCACATGCTCCTGCTACTGTACAATATGTCTCAACAACAATAACAATAAGGCCAAAATCTGTTAGTTTAAAGATAGGCAGAAAGGTATGTTTTCATTTATGTATGATCACTGGAAAATAGGAATCACTGTGTTTTCGTTACCTTACAGTGAGACGTTTTTATCTACAGATGGAGAATGACCTCTTCAATGGAGTCCACCATGTTAAATCAACGTGTTTTTACAGAAGCCCAGAATGGACAAATCAAACACTCATAGGGCTCATTTGTGTTTTTCGTGGGTTTCAAAGCTACTTCAGTTTTGCCTACATGGTTAGAAGGCAAGTGGTATTTCAATCAGAAGAGATCATTTAATTAAGTAACGATAATTGTTTATTATAACATATTATATATGATCAAGTAAGTATTGATTTATTGTCCTCTTTAAACTGAAGTCATTTTATGGCTCCTACACAAATGTGAACCACATGCATGATACAATCTCACAAATCTACACTTGCTATGTTAATCAACCCTAAATACGGTGATGTTAACATTTGCTTCCTTGTGTTTTGAAAAGATGAACATAATATAATAATTGTATTTGTATTGTATTGTATGCATGCTTCTTTTTAGCAATTTCTTCATTATTTCTTTATAAGAAAAAACAGAAAAGGTACAGTACAGCAAAGAGCAGCAAAGACCATTATGCTCAGCTGACAGGCACCAGATTGTTACGTTGTTCTCCACTCCGTGTTGTCAAATCCCTATTATGGCAGCATGACAGATTACTGAAACTTTTTCCAGATAAACATCATTTTAAGATTGCAGTGTAAATACACCAAACCTCAGAGTGAAACCAATACTTTTTCAAGAGCAGTGATGGGATTCAAAGAAAACAATTTTACCTCCAAAGAAATAATGATTTGAGACATGATTTGGAAAAACAAGGCTTTATTTTATTTCAACAATCAATGAAATCAACAAACTGACACTCACATTCTTGGATATTTCTTACATAATTCTTGGTCTTCCAAAACACAAATGCCAGAAACAATATAAAAATCCTTCAAAATGTTTTTTTTTTTTATTGCAACTAGAACATGATTTTATAAGATACAATGGTAACATAGAGAGATTGATCTTTAATAATAGGAGGAATAACTATGATTATCATTATAGTTTTTATCTATTTATTTACTGGTTTGATCCACTCTTCTCCTCCCTGACTCGCAGTGGTCCACTCTGTTGTTGTTGCTGCAGGGGTCACAGGTCGCTCTCCGTTTACTCAAGCCTCACTTTATGGCAGCCTCTGGCCTATAAACACACACATATTTATCATCACTGGTTCAAACAGAAATGCCTCAAAATGATACATGACATATTGTGTGCTTCCAGGTTGAATTTTACAAGAAATCCTGCTTGTGAATTGCTTTACAGTACAAGACTAGAAAAGAAAGCTCCTTGTGCTCTTCAAAATAAAAGCACATGGAGCAAAAAGTGAGATGAAGAAAAAAATTAGAAGGAATGAATTGCAGGCAGGTTTTCCCCCTTTTTCCAGTCTTTATGCTAAGCTAAACTAATTGCCTTAGCTCCATATATAAAATACAGACACAAAAGTGGTAACAAATTGTTCCCAAAATGTTGAAATGTACTCCTTCTGCCAAACTAAGCACCATTGATCAGTGAAGGCAGAATAACTAAACTAACGAGTATTGCAAATCTGTTTTTAAAGTGGAAATTTTTAGTGATATCTGTTGCCACTTTAAAAAAGCCATATTTTAGCATGGGGTTTAATATAAACAAACAAATTCAACACCATGACCTTTTAAAGTGCAGAGCAGCGTGACATTTAAAAACAAGGTACCTTGTTGTTTTTCCTGCAGCGAATTCTCAGGGAGTCCACGTGATTCTTCACATCTTGGACCCACTGCACGCCAGAAGGCACACAGAGTTTCATGTCTCGTCTGGTCACCAAACTGCAAGAAAACCAAATCATCCCGGTCAGGGTGTAAATAATTAGAGTGTGATTGTACATCCTGAGTCTACTGATTGGATACATGATCCACATCGCACAACCCAAACTTACATCATGGCATTAATAGGGCAGCCCTGTCCACTGATCTGCTGATGGTAGTCTACAATTAACTTTTTCTCAATTGGTTTGTCTTTGACCTGGAAGCAGCAGTCCATGGGTATCTGCGCCAATGTCACTGTAAGACAGAGAAGATCAGATCAGTTAAACATAAACTGACACTCCTGCCAAAATATAGTTTAAAAAATCTATTTCTTCACAGATATATGCAATATACACTCAGGATGTCCCAAACAGTCATCATATTGTGACACCATGACAAATACGTGGCTTCCATGTGGCGCTATCACCCTCCTCATAGCTTTGATGCTCCAATGAATTACCCAGTAATTAATTACTGGAACATACTTGAGCATATGGATTGAGACAATTTTCTTTTTGCCAATACATGTTGTTCTGACTTGGGCAGGGCCTTTCTGTGTGTAGTGTGCATGTTCTCCCCATGTCTGTGTGGGTTTCCTCTGGGTTTCCCCCACTATGAAAACATGTATGTTGGATTAATTCTCAAGTCAGTGCCCTTGACCACCAGGCACTGGCTCAGATCTGGAGTTGAACCCTGGGCACCACACTGTGGCTTCCCACTTCTCCTAGTAGGATAGGATAAATGCAGAGAATGAATTTCCCTTCAGGGATTAATAAAGGATAATTTAACATAGTGTGTAGTTAGTGTTAGAATCCATTGTAAGCAATATACAATGCTGACTACAGCTGTTCTTCATAAAGAGGGAAATTACAAACTTTTACAACCACTTTTATGGCCACTATAAAAGTGTTAAACCACCTTTAACACTTTATGCCTACAAAGAGTTTCATACTTAAATGATGTGATCACTGTAATTATAATTATCATTTCAAGTCATAACTTGATTCACTCACAGGATTATTGTTAAAAAACATCAAATTAAACAGGAAAAACTTAACAAACTGAACAATAAGTTACCACCAATCACTTCAGTGCAACCGAAAACTACTGCAAAAGAGACGTTCTTTTGTTTATGAGGTTATGTTCTGTGTGCTTGTGTATGTGAATGAATGATGGGGTGTGGTAGACTAGCACTTTCTAGCCCATCAGACATTTGAGCGGTCAGGGATTATAGCAGGAACACAATACAGACATCTGGTTCAAACTTCAAAAGATGTATCAGGTGACATAAGATTTATTTGGAGTAGCTCGTGTGAAACAGGCGACCAAATGGAGCCAAGATCACTGTAGATCTCCAGAGATGTGTTCATTTAAGTTTAATTTGTGTACTATTGCAATAAAGGAATGTGAGCTGAAGTCCTGCAACTGGAGTCAATCCCTAGAAGGGGAAATCACCAAGATAATCTGTGGTTAAATCAAGACAGGGATTTCCCACAGTTAACCTTTAACTTTCGCCTATTACAAAGCAAGTGCCCAGGTGAGGGAAAAACCAGCAGCACACCCTGCATGAAGAACTCTCACCACAGCCTCACCTCATTTACTTTGTTTCTTTGCACTGATAAGTAAAGTAAATGAGTTAATGTCCTGTGTAAAGTACATAGATTTCAATATTAAAGGAATCAATTGAGCTTACATGAAACTATTCAAGTTATTTAATTTCATATTTGATTCATATTTTATTTTATACATTATACTTTACCTCTGTTTATTTAATATTATATGTCATTCTGTTTCTTCATATTATAATTTGACTAATGTTTGGGGCTACTTTCTGTGCCAGATATTGTTTGCCCTCTTAAAGAGTATTTTTTTAATCTGGGTTAAGACTTGGGTGTCATATGCTGAACAGACTTCAGATTGCAAAGCTCTCTGAGACACAACTGTGATTTTGGACTGCACAAATAAGAACTTGAAGATGCAAAATGCAAACTCGGAAAGCTGAATTTTCATGTCAAGTGAAGGACCACACATATTTAAACCTCAATCATAGCCCCACTAAAGCGTTTACTTATTTCCCAGCGCACTTTGTAAACCACTCGTTCTTTTTGGTGCAGTTCCAAGTGTATTTTTCAGATGAATTAGAGTCTTTATCGTATCTTTTTCATCTCAAAAAGACTGATCGGCAGTGACTGATTTCACTCTCTGCATCAGAGAGACCTTTAGAGTCTGATAATGAGCCAAGGTGGAAGATGCCTGAAAAAACACTCACCTGTGCAGTAGCAAGTGATGAAGAGGATGCAGAAGAAGAGTTTGGCATCACCCCACAGAGCCATGTTTAGTTGCTGAGCTGGCGAGGTCGACTCTTTGTCTCTCTGGAAGCTGATTGGTTGATGAAGAGCCTGTCCTTCCTTTCAGCACTTATGTGGCAAAGTAAGGTGACTGCCTCTATGTCGTGTAGACAGCTCTATATATACTGAACAGAACAATGTCCATTTAGTTTCTTAGTTTCACTTTTCATCTTTCTGGACCCACCTCTTCCTCATGCCCTCCCCATTCCATTTTGTCCATCATGAAGTGAAAAGCTGAGAAAGACCTCCCAATGGTTGTATATTTAAATATTGTATATTTCAGTTCCCAGCACTTCCCAGACATGCAACTCTTCTAAGGTAAAAGGAACAGTTTGTCGCACTTTGAGTCAGCTCCCGGTCACAGGAGCACTTCTCTAATCTCTGAACAAACACAAAACAAGACCAGCAGTTGGTTATTTAACCCTCAAATAACCAACTGACCAACATTTACTCTGAGGGAAAAATTACACAGCAGAAAAAATAAATAAAATAATTATTAAGGCATAATGCTCTGACTCTTGCTCAATGTAATTTAAATGCATATATATATTCAGTGCTACATTTCTCACATTTGCTTGTTTTTTGGAAGTCATATGGAAAAGCTATCAATTCATGTTCAGACCGAATACCGAAAAGTATCAAATAAGCTATCAAATAAACATTTCATTTATGAAGATGAAGTATACTTCTACTGTACAAGTAACTAAACAAAGACTGTGCTCAGTTCTCTGGAAAATCTAGTTCTCCTTTTATTTGCAAACACAATTAATCTCGTAGTTTGGTGTTGACAGTATTTAGGTATCACATAAGCAAAATGGTTGGACAAACCAAGTTCTTTTGAAACCAAAAAGACACTTCCCTTTAAACACCAATGATCCTAGCACAAAACATACACATTCCTTCGGAGTAGATGACTGCGTTGGGATTAGGATTCCGTGGGACCCATAGCAAATCTCACAGGACGGTCCAAAAAATAAATTGCAGGCCCCATGATTTATCTGCCGCAAACCATAAGGATGGAGGCCGGGTCATCTGTTTCTAAAAATTATTCTACTTGAATAATGTGCACATTGCTGATGGCTTGTGTCTCCAAACCAAGGTGGTGTCCAGAGCCTTGGGTGGCTCTGACTACCCCTGAAATCTGAATGGCCACCCCATGTACCACCCCATTCTCTTACCTCTTCCACTTTGCACTGTCTTTGGGAGGCTGTACCTAAATAGCCATTTTCAAAGGGATCCCTTGACATCTGACCTTAAAAGACAGTATCTGAATTGAATGAAAATGGGTTCTATGGGTACCCACAAGTCTTCCCTTTGCACACATGGACACTTTATGCTAATCGCATGCAGTTTTGGACAAAAAAAGATAAAAATCCTGATTGGAAAGCTGACCCACATACTTCATGCATACATCAGTGCCTCTCTTGCTCCAAACCACCAACCTTTCAACAGTGAATCCAAATTGTAAACCATCAAACAAGAGATACAGCTTTCCACAATTAAGCAAGGTTAGACTGCAGAATAACTTTGTGCTACAATTTGTGCATGTTGAAGGACCTTGAATCTTCTGTGTTTTTATGTTAAATGTGGGCCGATATATTTGTGTTCCTTGTTTATGTCTTTTCTGTGATGCTGCAAATGGAGATGCTGTGATGCAAGAACATTTTCAGATCTGACAATAGTATTATCATCATTGTCACTGTCATCATCAAGTAGTTTTTTACATGACAATTTAAGTGAAAGTATTAGGTTGGTGGCCCTAAGCTTCAAACTATGGTGCTGTAGATACTGTCTATAGCATCAGTTTTGCACATGACGGGTTTGCTATAATAAATATGCAATGAAATAAATGGGAAAAAATCTCACATTGTCTTTATAAGAATACTTTTTATTGTCCTAACAGCTTACTGTATTTCCATACTCTTTCATGTTGTTAAAAGATAAGCCATAAAGATAAGGGCACTGCACCCATCAAATCAAAACCCAAAGTAAGAAAAAGCACTTGTATTATTACGCAGGTTCATTGTACTTTCTTTGCCTATTTATTCTAATGTGGAAGAGTGACACCTCTCTGGAAAAACATGGTTTTCACTGAACTGATACTACTTTATCCGCAAGTGTCTGTAAAGAGCAACTTTCTCTTCCCCACTTACTGTATTGAGGAAGTTGGTAACAGTTGTGCTGTGGTCTCTTTATGTTGACATAAAACTAACCTACTAATATTTAATCGGTTCACTATCAGATTACCTTCACTGACTTATTGCATCATCATGTGCAATTGTTAAACTGTTTGTTCAGTCAGATGCTGTACGTTTTTAAAGAAACATTTACAGAGCAAGATTCATTTTCTTGTAAATCACATTCATGGATTTTTTCCAAGATGTTTTGTGTTATCTGTCTGCAGTGTTTACTCTCTTGGACTTTCCCTACTGAAGCAATTACAGGAAGAAAAAAAAGAAGTTGATGGACCTGTAAGTATTTGCTTACAGAGAATGATCTGGCAGGAATCCAGGCAGTAGTCCTGGCCCAAGGGCAGTATCTGGGAAAGTCTTATAGGAGTGAGCATGTTGAATATCTGCATCCTGACAAGAAAGGACATGTTTCACCATCCCTGGGGTGCCTTTGAAGACTATGTTTAATAGAACATTTTTATCTACAATAATTGCTCTGCTAACATAACTCACGTACATTTTTGAAGTTCAAGGTTCGATAGATGCTCTTAAATGATGCATACTGTATAGAGGTATATGTAGGGTTAGGGATTTAGGACATCTGTCCCTTGCAACATGTTGTCAAATATTGCAGTGGTTGTAAATCAACGCTCAGGGAGTTGTGCTGTATATTTCGGAGGCTTGTGGCCCCACATACATTGTGGGAAACTCCACAGGATGCTTTTGGATATTAGGATGATGGTTTTTGGCACTGAGCACAGTTTGTGGCTGTACTGTCATGAGTAGGTCAAACACTCAAGTGAAGTGGCTTTACGACTTCCTGTTCTCGAATGCTCTGAGGTCACAACAACCCATTCTCCTACATGTCACTCATCACACAATATGTCGAAATGAGCAGAACGATGCTGAATGCATGTATCATGTTGACTGTATTTTAATTATTGTTTGAAAAAAAAATCAATACTTTTTTTTCAATACATATAGCAGGGAATGTTACCTTAAATCCTAACCTTAAACTTAAAAGATGAGAATGCAGAATCAGGGCTCAGTTCTGGCAAAATTAGTTTGAGAGATGTTTTAGGGATAAAGTTCCTTAAAAAGTACCTCAATCATTCCACAAATCTTGTTGCACATCCCTTACAGAAACTCAGTATCTCTTGAATGACTTGAATGTCTCTCCCTTAAGTGACTTACTCTAGTCTTTTAAACATCTTTACACTCATTCGCCAATTTCATCTTAAACTAAATATGAACATTTTAAGGTGCTTTTAAGAAGTAGTTCCTTCATGTGGCCTACTAAGTTACAAACAAGGGATTTAGCAGCAGACGACTGTTGCTGTGCTGGGCAATTCCCGAGAGGAAAAGTGTCACAAGGGAAGAGGGAGTGCAGCACTCTTCAGCTTAAGAAAACACATTCAAGTTCAAAGACTTAATTTATCCCAGAGGGGCAATTGGTTCTGCTGCTGTAGCTGTAAAAACAACACAGGGCGAGACACACCAGATAAAAAACCACAAACCCACAAATACATATAAATAGAGACGAACACATGAAGTAAGAAAAAAACTTAGAATATTAGTGACAAAAAGAAGGGAGAAACAGGCATGTCTGGTACTGATGCTACTTTACTGAGCAGGGAAATGGCAGAGGATATAAAAAAGAATTTATATCTGTTAGTTTTGGCTGATGGGTGTCAAAGGCGGGAACCAGAAAGCAGGAGCTTTTCTGAGCTCCGAGGGTGGTTACTGTCACATATAATGGCTTCTTTAATTGTTTGTTCAGATGCTAATCGTTTTGCTCCTGACTTTCCTCACCCTTGTTAATGAATTTTTCTATTTGTGGTTGAGAAATGCATACCGCATACAGTAAATGACAAAAAAATGTATGTCTACAAAACACCAGCAAGTGAAATACACATCTTCATACGTATGCTGATACGTCTCAAAAACAGTCGACTAAACAATCTCAAGTCAAGGTTACCCCTTACTCGCCTGTTTAAGGGCTTTCCGTACCGTATCACACAGTCTTCATCAGCAGATGTTCAGAATCATAGAAATATGGAACATCTATAGTTCTGAAGTGAGAAAACTTTATCTGCTGTTGAAGACCATGTGAGATTGATGAAAGCTCCAGAATAATCAAGTGGACCTTCAGGTGAAATTGTTCTGTCAAGTTTTTATTTTGCTTTTTCCAATAGCATATTAGTGGAACTGTTCGCTTCACACCAAGGGATAGCTTTTTACTCTGAAAGGACTTTCAGAGTGCCTGGCCTTATATATCATGAGGTCAACTGAAGAACAGTCGCTCACCTTCTGACAAAGTTGATTCAATCAATACCTTAGGCCTTCCTCAGTACAATAGCCAGTTACAATGTAACTCTCAGTTGACTTCCTCATAATGTAGAACACAGAGAATCACATAGGCTTCACCAAATCAATACACTGATTACTAATCTAAGAATGTTCATTTCCCACAATATGTTTTCATATTGGCGAGTATGTTTGTTCTTTGTCTGTTGTAATTCATGAAGATTTGCATGTGATTATTGGTGCACTGAACTTTCCTAGAAGCCATTGGAAATTGAGCATAGTGTTAGTTCATGCTTGTAACAGCTGATCGGTATCATCGGCTTCGTTCACGCTTCACCACCAGTGACTCGCATCAGCTGCTTGACTGCCAGCTGATGAGTAACATCCCGTCATTTACATACAGGTGTACAGAGTGATTGTTATTACATGACACTTTCCACTACTACTTTGTTGATTTGCTCACGCCGTCACTCAGTACAAGATTTAATGTTCGTAACTCTACAACTGCTTTTCTTATGGTCCATTCCTTGGACCTATCCTTTTGTAGCTTTATTTTCCACTGCATTTTTGATTATTACTATTTTTTTTATTTTAATTTATTGTTATGTGGTGCAGATTTGTTTTAATTGTATTCTTCCAGATGTGTTGTGTGTCTTTGACTGTGCATGAAAGTGCATGCAAGGTCATTAATTCAGAAAACACATTTCCATTTTCCATGTGAAATGTTTGAGTTATAATGAAAGGCGGCAACAGAAAGATTTCAAAAATAATATCAAACTTTATTTTAGAATAACTCTCAACAATAGTTTTCACATACTTAAATCAATATTTTATTTTACAAGTTTTGATTAAAACAGCTCTAAAATTGTATCATAAAAGATAAACACAGATTGTCAAACATTCAGTGAAATGTTCCACAAACGCCTCACAGTCTTATGATAAAAACAAAAACAAAACAAACAAACAACAGGATTGATTTCACTGTCACTGTTAGTTCCAGGCAAGTCAAGGCAAATAATAAAAAAGGAAAGAGTTTTTTACACCACCACAAAATAAACACATACAGAACTGTATATTTAGCCACTTATACTTACACTATGATTCACTGACGGCTCATAAAATCATCATAAGTGATGATTCTTCAATGATCTTACAGGTTTGATTTTCTCAAAATGTTTGGATCTTCTACAGTACAACATGGCCATTCTGAGGCTCTGAGCAGAAATGGAAGGGGTTCAGGCTTCTTCAGCTCTCAGTTTAGAGTCGGTCCGTCTTGATTTTCAGCCATCTTTTCACTTTTCTCCGCTCCTCTTTACACCTGCAAAAAGTAAGTACAGAGATAAGTGAGTGCAAGGTTGAAACTTTTAACGTGAAACATGGGAATCATTTCCACAATATTGTAAGAAAAAAAAGGAGCAAGGGAGCTTTTAAAAGCTCAGGCGAAAAAGGGGAAAATACAAGCTTTTTTCATTTACCCGACTTATTGCTGTCTCAGTTTTCTCTTTTCCAGAGCAGCAATGTGCTTTCTCACCCATTCTGCATCGTCGGGGTGGGAGACACACAGTGTTCTTCCAGCTATTGTTAGGAACCTGAAAAAGATGATGAGAAACACAGAAGTGAGATTAAGCTGCAGACTACAGAGCTGAAAGAAATCCACTTCCATAAACCTGACTGCAAATTAGGATACTGCAAAAAATATGAACCAGCTCCTGTAACCATTCAGCAAAGGATCTGAGGAAAGAACTTTCTTTTGCCTGATTTATATATGTAAATAATTTACACTTACCTGGTAGCCTTGACATCGCAGCCCTTCCCAGCATCCTGAATGGTGTAGCTTTCGATGATTTTGAGGGGCAAACGCTTACTGGAGGCACTCAGACAGCAGTCCACTGCAATCTCACCTGCAGGAGGATGGAGAAACAAATTTATCAGAATGGGTAAAAAGTTATCTTAAAATGTAGAAAGGGTTAGACAGGTAGATTTATCAATGAGACCTAAAAAGCTGAAATGCCTGGCAGGTGAAAAGGTCACTTCCTGACTGAGCTTAAATTTCAAATGTGGTTTGGTTTTGACTGTTTCAGTCTAAAAGATCACATTAGCCTTGCACCTGCACTGAAATCATTCTGAAATATGAATCTGTTTGACTGCAATGAATAGTAGTATGTCTTACCTGATGCAAACCCAACACAGAGGACACCCAGCAATAGCAGAGCTGCAACTCGAGAGGCCATGTCTCTGTTTCGTAGGTTTGAACTCTGGCTTCAGAGAGTCTGTTTCAGTCAGGAGTGTGAAGGTGTTGCAGTGAGGTGAAGAGCATGCGTGTGTATTTATGGCTGAAGAAGAGAAAGTAAAAGTGTGATCTGTGCTCATTGACTGGAAATCAGGGAAAGTTGGCACCAGACTCACACGTGCCTGGTCACTTACCTCTTCACTCCTCCTCTCTCTTTTAGTCCTTGCCAAAATCCTCCTGTATGTTTTTTCCAATGTTTCTCTTAAGTAGATCTTTATCCTGCCGTTTGTCTGACAAATACCTTCTTTCCGTGCTTCATACAGTCTATACAATGAGACAGTTCATTCATTAGCACAAGCACGAATCAACAAATACTGCATGTTTTTTTTTTTCTACTGTGCATTAGCTACCAATATTTTGTGCCAACATTCAAAATCTTTATATTTCCATTTTTTCCAAACCATTTAAGGACTTGTTTCCCTCAAAAGTGTCTTGTTGTCACTGAGAATGATTGATGCCAATTGGTGCACATATTATATAATTACCTGCTAGTGCAAAATAAAAAGTAAAGTACATTGATTTCTTATTAACTCTACGAGTGGCAGTGACAAGTAGCCTAATGTGTGCAAGTAGTGCATAATATGGAATCTGTAGCAGTTGATAACAATCTAAATACAATACGGGTGACCGTCAATCAATTAGTAAAGAAACATAACGGATGCAGATGCTTCCACACAGGGCCACTGCATTGTACAATGAAATAGTTAACATCATGCTCTGTGGCATTTATAAAGTGCTGAGCAGGCACAGTTGATACTATAGTAAGGTTGCAGTGCATAAACCCCTCATTCTGAAGGTGAATGCAAATTTGAGAGTTCAGTGGTGCAAAGACCATAGACTCTGGTCTACAGAGATCTGGAGTGATGTGGTCAGATGAGTCAGCCATCATCACATTCTCAACACCTGGGCGAATGCATGTGTGGACACCAAGAGAATAGTATAGTCCCGAATGCTTGACCCCCCTGTGAGGAGATCCAGTGGCTCTGTTATGCTTTGAGCGGACATTGTTCTGAGTGATCACCTTTATCATCAGGAGAGGAATAAATTCACAAGGAAGGAAGTGGAAGGTTGTTCGTACCGTAAATCAAGATATCTATCTTAATTATTATCAATTTTTCCCAGAAGAATCACACATTTCACAAGATGGTATCAATGTGGTGACAGTTGGGTTTGGGGATTTTTCATGTATACAGACACTTCTCGCAAGTCTGTGTGAAGGGTGTGTGTGAGAGAGTTTTGCATGTGTGTGCATGCATCTAAGTGTTCGATTACAATCTGTGAGTGTGGGAGTAGTTAAGCAACAGGAGACAAACACAAGCATAGATTTATTAAGACTTATGCAACCATTATTTAACACCATGTGAAGATAAACTTATTTCAGAAAGTTCTGTCTTTCCATTGTTTCTAGAAACAATATGCAGTGGTCCATGATAAATTCATAGCCTATTCTTAAAGGAATTTTTTGATATTCTGGGAAATATATGGGTTCTTAGGGAGACTAAAGAGGGAAGATCGATATCAATCTCATGTTTGTGCTTTAAAGCAGCTATAATTACTATCTTAATAATACTAATGCATCAGTGACTGTGTTATATGAAAGGCAGAATTACCCAACTCTACACTTTCACTCTTCCAGTTTTATAGCATCTTTTACCAACAAACAGAAAATACTGGATTTACAGGATAAAAGTCCCCAAGCAGTGTAAAAAAAACTCTTACTAGTGAGTGCCATGTCCCTTTCTTCAATATTTTTAGTTGGGTTTGGACCATTTAAAGGTCCAGTGTGTAACATTTAGGAGGATCTACTGGTAGAAATGAAATGTAATACTAATAGGTATGTTTTTATTGCTGTATAATCATCTGAATATTGGAATCATTGTGTTTTCGTTTCCTTAGAATGAGCCTTTTTTATTTACACATGATGGAGTCCTGCATGTTGAACCGCCATGTTTAAACAGTAGCCCAGAGACACCCAACACTGGCTGTAGATAGGGCCTTTTGCGAGTTTCCCAGCCACCATAGTTTATCCTACACACTTCACAAACATCAAATACAGACGCGAGCGGTTTTCAGTTAGCTGCAATCTGCAACTTCACCGCTAGATGCCACTAAATGCTACACACTGGTGGTCCGTTACAGTAAAAAATGTGCTATATTATGTCATTTTCTTCGCCATTAATTTTCTATGTTCAGTTATGTTGGTTATAATGGTCACATTATGTTCATGGGGAAGCTGATTTTAAAAGAGAAGGAGAAATAGAGAAATGACTCACTAACTACGCTTGACTCAAAGAACAATATAGTTAGGTCAGCAGCATATTGCAATCATTTATCTGGAAAAATTAGTGGTGAGGAAGTAAACAACAGAAAAATTTCCCTCTAACCACTAGAGGTTTCTATTGTAAATACTGCTGAGACGTTAACTTGCACATCCTTAAGTAAAACGGCAATCAAGCAATAATTACAAAAAGGCTCTGTCTGGCTGAAATGTTGACGCCATCCATGTGGTAAAATCAGGGCAGAAATATTTTGAGATATTATATTACAAAACTAACCCTTTGCCAGATATGAATATCGTTTAATTATTACTTCTAAAACTGGATTGCATGACAGAGTTAAGTACTTATTAACTTATACTTGTACTTATTAAAACATCCTTCATCCTACTGTTATCTAGATACAAATTTAGTCGAGACACTGCCACAGGGGTGCAATCAGATGCTACCTGAACAGTCAGTTATGTCAACATACCACATGAAGCGATGCGATTGTAGACTTATTGTAGATGGAGGGTAGCGATGTGAAACTTGATGCGTCAGAGCAAAACTAAGTGAATGTTTGGATCAAAGCATGTTCAATAACTTAAACTTTCTTTGCAGGATCATGGAAAGATTAAAATAACCAATTATCATAATCCTTCAGGAAAGTGAACGCAGTGGATTTGTTGTGTTTCCACTGAATCTACATGTCCCATAAATCTCCATATGTATATCACAAACCACCATTTTACTTACTTGCTGAGAAACAGGGTGAAGGTTGCAGTTTGGTTAGGTTTAAACCATTAACTGTATATATAATGGACAGAGCTTCTGGGTCTGAAAAATGAAGCCAACCTGGAAGTGTCTTAAACATGCATTCGGCGTAGGCTGCAATAACACAGCGATCCCATTCACTTTAATGGAGAGTGAGCCGACCATTGACTGTGGTTCAAACACCAATGCGTGAAATACACACGCAGGTCCACTGTGAACTTTTCCCATCTAGGTGAGGCAAAACGGGACACTGACTGCAGCTGCAGAGAGTGTGTGTATTTTTGGAGAAATGGGCCTTCGGAGCTTCGGAACAATGGCATGGCACCACTATATCCTAGTTGCTAACTTTGTCTGTATGTTGTTTGCTGGGCAGGTAGCATACAGTGGGTTTATCAGCACTTGTTTGCTGAAACAGGTGCCTGCTGATGGCAGAAACAGGGCCAATAAGAGCACAAATGCTAAACCTTACAGTAAAAGTGCAATAAAACCAAAAAATAAGTCAAAAGAGGATGAAAAGCTGCATAGAGCTCCACTGGTGGGTGATAAGCCTGTGTGAATTTACCCTTTGCACAGTTTTTGTAGTCATTGAATTCATTGTTAATTAAATATATTAAATATATTCAACAAAAAGGGACTTCCATGTCTTAATACAACAATGTATGCACGGTATTCTTTACTGTGGCCTGATCCATGAATGCATTAACTCCTCACAACCACATCCTGTGTTGGCACAATAAACCCTCCATTAATACATTTCTCACACTGTGGAAAAGGCAAAAATGTGAGCAAACAAGTCTGGGGAACCACGTGATATTCAGGAAAGCAGGGACAGAAGTCATGTTAAGGTTAATAGCTACCTTAAATGCCCGTACAATAGGTCTAAAAAAAGGGTAACAGTCAAGCAGAAATTTGTCCTGTGTAGACATGGGAACAAACCCCCAAGGCTGTTATAAATACCAGCTCAACTATTTGTAAAGAAATCAAAACTCAGCATAGAGGATTTTAAACAGCTCTTTTGCAGGGTTGAAAGCATGATAAAGTGAAACTGTAACTGCAGCCATGCCTGTGTTTGTATGTACAGACAATTTATTTATATGGGTTTTAGTGTTGTCGAACAGCTGCACCACTGGCAGCCAAGTTCGCCTGCAGAGCTGATAATTGTGCAGAAAAGACAGAATTGGTACAATCTGCAATACATAATGACCTGATGCTCTTGGACAGTAGTTTCTTGTAAGTTTTAAATAGTACAACACAGTTTTTAGCCCTTCATAACAGGTTGCACTATTCTGTTATTTATCTCACAGCTCCTTTGATTTACCTTCCAGGCCATTCTGGGGTTTCCAACCCCAACTGGGAACCACTGTTCTTGGATGCCAGTGCTGCAAGGTCAGAGGTTAGGTTTGTGGACCCATTAGGTACACAAACTTCAAGATTGCTAAAGGGAAGTTGGTTATTTTCATTTGGGTTTAGAGTATTTATCCATTCTCATGTAACCAAAAAATGTTGGATGACAAGATTGATACCACTTGCCAGGACACCGTTAGCTTAGCTTAGCATTAAGACTGAAAGCTGCAGAGAACAGCTAGCCTAGTTCTGTCCAAAGGTAAAAGAAAATCTATCAGCACCTCTAAAGCTTTTAACATGTCTTATCTCATTTGTAAAATATATACAACACCGAAGTGTAAAAACAACAAGTTACAGTTTTATGGCGGGTTATGTGCCAAACTATGTCTTGGCCAGGAGCAGTTACACAAAATCTATTTGTGGTTCCTACGTACAGATTAAAAGATATTTTGGTGCGCTTTAAAGCTGCTGGATGGTTGTTATCTTTGGACTGACCCAGACGAGCTGGTTCCCCCTGTTTTCAGTCTTTATGCCAAGCTAAGCTAACTATGTCCTGGCCAGTGGTATCAATCTACTCATCTAACTCTCGGCATGAAAGCAAGCATATTTGCATACATTTTGAGCTGGTCCTTTTGTATCAGTTAGCCTTAACTGGAACAGTAAATGATTTAATAACTGGTATACACGTAAAGACACAATAAGTTATTTTACATAAAGACTGAACAGCATGAACAGTGTACTTTTAGGATGAACAGGTGAGGCACACTCAGAATGAAAGTAGATAAAATCTAGTTATGTTATCACGCTGTGAAGCTCTCACATCTTTTTTGTCATTCCATCAAAACTGCCCAAAGTGGAGCCTGTGCCAAAGATGGGCTGCCAGATGATTCTAACGTAAACTATAAATATTTATATTTGATTTTATTTGAATTTTCTTAGGTAAAATGCACTTTAAATTAGGATCCCTAATCATTAATCATTTTTCATAATCTGTGGACGACAGGGCTGTAACACTTCACACAGGAAGTCACAACATACAATACCCACCATGGCCCACCATTAAAGGACCGGTGTGTGGGCAGTGGCATCTAGTGGTGAAGTTTTCAATATTAACTATTTAAATACAAATCAGTCTTCCAAGCGTATAGAAGAAACTACAATGGCCACAAAACTTGTGAAAAGCGCAAAAAGGACCTATCTAGTTGTCCAATCAGGGCTACTGCTGAAACATGGCAGTTCAACATGGCGAATGGATAATCTTTCAATCCCAAGAAGGCAACAATACAAATCTCCTTTTGAAAACAAATATGTTTTATCCCAAAATGCAATATTCCCATTCCAATTTTCCATATCTTCACAAAAGATATGACCAGTGACAGCTGGTGGTGATTTTG